TTATTATAACTAAGATATCAAATGAAACAAGCTGTTTGTTTGTCTCATTGCCCGGGGTGCTAACGTTTGAGGCTGCAGCAACAATTCTTCACAGCCGGGGCGCCCGCCGTATTGTTCACAGAGGTTCATTGGGTGCTGGAGGGGAGGAGTGAGGCCTTGAGCAGGACCTTGGCCTAGGCCATAGGTAGAAAACATGATGCCAGGTATTGATGGGTTCAAACTCCCATCTCCCCCAGGCAACATGATGGGAGATGTAGTTCAGCAATATCTTGAAGGCATCTCCCCTGGCCTAGGTCAGCGTTTCCCAAACTTCTGGGAATTGCAATACCCTTTTTCTGAATCAAAATTACAAGTACAATTTAATTCATGGGTAGGCAAACTAAGGCCCGGGGACTGGATCCGGCCCAATCACCTTCTAAATCCGGCCTGCAGACAGTCCAGGAATCAGCGTGTTTTTACATGAGTAGAATGTGTCCTTTTATTTAAAATGCATCTCAGGGTTATTTGTTGGGCCTGCCTAGTGTTTTAACATGAGTAGAATGTGTGCTTTTCTTTAAAATGCATCTCTGGGTTATTTGTGGGGCATAGGAATTTGTTCTTTTTTTTTCAAAATATAGTCCAGCCCCCCACAAGGTCTGAGGGATAGTGGACTGGCCCCCTGCTGAAAAAGTTTGCTGACCCCTGATTTAATTTTTATACACCCTTTATATTGGGAGGATGAAGCAGTCGGAATTGGTCTTACATAAGTAAGATCCAGCATTGGATTAGGATGAAGAGACGCAAGTTCAAATTCCCACTCAGTTATGGGCCTGTTACTTTCTCTCTTTCTCTCTCTCTCTGCCTAATCAACACCACGGGGTTGTTGTGGGATAAAATGAGGCAAGGCAGCACCCCCCCCATTGGAAGATTCAGGATAAAGAAAGTACCTCTTCACACACTGCATAGTTAAACTATGGAGCTCTCTCCCACAGGACCCTACCCAGATGGCTTTAAAAGAGGATTGGACAGATTCATGGAGGAGAGGTCTATTGGTGGCTACTAGCCGTGGTGGTTGTGCTCTGCCTCCACAGTTGGAGGCAGCAATGTTTCTGAATACCAGCTGCTGGAAACCATCGGAGGAGAGAGGGCTCTCGTGCTCAAATCCTGCTTGTGGGTTCCCCACAGGCAACTGGTTGGCCCTTGTGAGAACAGGATGTTGAACTAGATGGGCCACTGTCTGGATCCAGGAGTTTCTCCTCACGTTCTTTAAAGGACAGTGGACACCACAGACGTGTGGACAGAATGCAAGTATTAGTGGAAATAGAAAAATAAGCCTGAGCAGAGAATGGAGGAATGGTTTTCTGAATTAGAGTCCTTGGCCATGCAACCAGTTGCTCTCTCTCTCTCTGTGTGTGTGTGTGTGTGTGTGTGTGTGTGTGTGTTGTTTGACAGGGCTTTCTTCTTTGCAAGTCCACATTCAAATTTGCTTAAGACCAATTGGTCATTTAAGGGCACTGTCACGGACGCAGCCTGTCATTCTGCAAACTCACCTGCAAACAAGCCTAAAGTTGTAAAAACCAGACAGTCTTTTCATTGATTGCCCGGAATTCCATATTCCTGGTGCTTTTTTTAAACCAAGTGACTGCCTAAATGGGTCCAAAGTTAGAAACACAATAATTTCGCTAAGCCTTCTGGTAATTTAGGGTAATCATTAAGTTGAAACCATTACCTTTTTACTATAGAAAAGAATGTAATACCAATCTGTATATCTTAAACTGCATGCCCCTTCATTCCCAGAAGTATGTTTCTTGGCCCAGTTGACAGAAGAACTTGGTGATCTGCATGATCAGATCATGGGTGACAGCTATTCGCACAATCAGCTTCCTATTGGAACAATATAAAACCCCAAGGAACTGCTGATTCCTGGTATAGAAGCTAAGTCGGTAGCTTCTTATGGAACTAATCACCTAGGAAATGACAATAGATCCCAAAAATTCAGAGCTAATTGGGATTTGCAGAGCTAATTGGGATTTGCAATGAATGTCCCCTGCCCATTTTCATAATTGTATTCATTTCCAGTGTTAAAATAGGTGGTGACCTTGCAGTTATCACTGCCTTACACATTTCTTTATGATGCTGAAATTGTTTCCCAGATCCTTATTCAACCACGAGTCGTGTGAATAAGACTTTATTTGATGCTACACCACAAAATAAGAATGATAATACCCCATAGCATACATCTCTATCACTGGAAGACTCTCCCCTCAAGGTGCAACATCATTCTCTGGGGCAAAAAGGCATTAATGTACAGTAATGACTAAGGGAATGGGAGCTGTGCACTCCAAAATAAAGCACTGGGCCATCCCAAATGACACCACCAGGTGAACATCCCCTACGACGTGCCCTAGAGTTGAGTCCAGCCTGTTACTTTCCTGTTGCAACTACAGCAGCGTCACAGTTTCGCACATTAAATAGAAGGTCTAGCTTGTTCATTTTCTATTTCGTCATCATGATGATGATAGCCCATCTCCTCTTCAAACAGATGTTCACCATCCTCCATCCTGGTTATCAGTTTGGGAGTATGTACCTTTTAGTGCAAGTTATCCCATTTTTTCATGCACACATATTTTAATGGCTGACACTTCTTTGTGCAACTGTGGTTTCACATTTAGGCATACCATGTTTGATTACGCTTCTCAGATATTGCTCCTGAGGTCACAGGTACAGCTGCAGGCAGACCAGTCCCATCCTACCCCTTTTCTGGCCATGGGTTTTTCTCCTGCCCCTGCAGCTGGGGCATGTGTGGCTTAATAGGCTAGTATAGTGTAAGCATAACTTTTATATGTATTGGGAAACGAAACAAAAATAAATGGTATGACTCACTTAATTGCAATATTCACTTTATTGTGATGATCTGGAACCAAACCCACAACTTCTCTGAGGTATGTCTGTACTTTGAGCAGACTTTAACTATGTTGGATGAACAGCATTTCTTTCACAATTAATTTTCAGGCAATATCAAGAGCCAAGGACAGCAGGGAAAGAAAGTTGTTATCAATACTAGCTATATATAATACACATTACTAAATAAAGCTTGCTTTCTCAACTGGCCGGCTAAACCATGGGTAGCCAATGGACCTCAGACCCTCGGAGAAGGAAAGCTCTGATCCTAAACCTCCGCTGCCTTGTGGGTTATCTTTGGGAGAAGAAAAGGCTACGGATTGAACCCTACACACATCTGGAGGGGAGTCCCTACGGAGCACACCTCCTTCCAGCAACTCCTGCAGCCAAGCTGGTGCTAAATGTATTGCTCCACTTTCCTTTGGATCACCTCAACAAGGCCAAGAGGCGGATCTTGTTGTATGGGCAGCCCAGGACCTCCATACACACTGCCCAGGTTTGCACCCCAGCAAGGTCATTTTGGTGCTAACGCAGCAGTTTGACTTCACCCCTGGAGACACACTCCATTGCCTCCCATGACAGACTGGGGCACATAGACTCCTGAAGGCGTACTCTATTATTTCTCAAGATAGATGGATGCAAACAACAACCACCCATGAGGCAGTCAGGTGGCAATGAGTTTATTCATTATTTTCTCCCTTACCCTCCAGAGCTGATTTAAGGCATGCACGGGTGGCTGTAAGAAGAAGTCCCATCCCATGAACAGATGTCCACTTGTGCAACATGGAATCCGTGGTATCCATGATCCAACCCAAAGTTACATGTTGTAAAGTCTCATAGTGTCACTTGTATATAAATTGCAGGAGCCTCATGGTGCTTAGCTTTGGCTGGGTCATTCAGTGCTTTTTCCAATTATGTTTTGGTTTCAAGGCCAGGGCAAAGGAACTTCTGAGGGTGCAAACTACAGAGACGGCCCATCTCCTGAGAGGGTCTGTAGGGAATGAGATGCTCTTTCAAATATTTGGAGTCATTTAGGGCTTTAAACACTAACACCAGCTCATTGAATTAATGTTCCTACTGAAACTTAAAAAAATAAATCAAAGTAATTGTGATCAAGAGACAGAAACTCAAGCAAATGACATAGTGTGGGCATTATTTAAATTGAGTTGTTCTGAATCTGCCCTTCGTTTCTTTGAAGCTGCAGTGACTCAGAAGCCAAGCCAGCCTTGTTCCATGTTTCCCCTACTACATCTGTTCATGCCAATCATTTTTCAAATTGATATTTTATTAAGAGAATTTCATTTATAAAAAAGTAGTGAGGGGAAAAAAGTGGTAATGAAAAAAACTGTTATATTACCATATATTAATATACAGATGCTTATTCTTATTATCCTAATGTACACATAACTGTCAGTAATCTAATATATTCTGTGTAAACTAATTCTAAATATCACTGTATTTACCCAAAGAAAGTCTGCATCTATAAGCTATCGGTTCATACGTTGCCAATGTTGTCATGCTGTCGAGCCATTGATTAAAGGGGACTGATTCCCCTATTCCTGGCAATCATAGGAATGATCAGCAATTATCACAGTACAGGTAGCATTCTTGTAAATCTTGTGAAAAATGACTTGGTAAAGGCACAAGGTAGGAAACTGTCCTATCTGCAGGTGCTGGAAATATAACTGGTTTTAATGGTCATTGTGGCGTAGATCTTTAAACTAAACAAGGTGGCATCCATTGAAGTTGCTTCCAATGAAGATTATGTGCACTAATGTGGTACTCTCCGGATGCTGGATTACAAATCCCATCATCCCTGACCACTGGTCATATAGGCAGGTGCTCATGGGAGTTGTAGTCTGGAGGGCACTATGCCGTACACTTTTAAGTTCAAGTTATTCTAACAATTGGTTTTCTAATCTCCTAATACACAATTTTAAAACTTTAAACTTAGCACTCTGTAGGCAGACAGTATCTTCCACTCATGGAATGAAGTGTTGCAGCTCATTCAAGAATGTTGAACACTACAGTATTAATGTGAATTCATCCAACCTTTGCATACGTCATTACCTACCCCACAAACCCATTTTATCCCATAAGCCAAAAAAGAAGCCAAGTGGTAGCTGACAATATGCATTTATTATTAGAGATGTTGTATACAGAAAAGTTTGTGCATCACCGCTAGTCTGACTGAAGGGGCTCTTTGACTCTGTATGGCTTTATTTGCAGCTGTTTTAAAAAGTAACAAAAACGTGATAGGATCTGGGAAGATTTCAGTCTTTATTTCAAAAAGTTGAGGGCTTGAAAGATAAAGAAAATGGTGTTTCAAACTAGCAGTTTAGTAACTACGGCCAAAGAGGGTGTAGAACTTGGCAAGGTTCTTGCCACAGACACATTTTGCTCCGTTCTCTAGCTTACACAGTGGCTTGAAGGGGATGCAGAGACTTTTTGCTCCCATGGATGGAGCACCAGGCTCAAGGTCTTGATCTCTGAAATGGAAAGCAGATTTCCTTTAATGCCCAAAACTGAGATAAATGGCAACGCCCCACAATTGTGCAATAACCAAAGGTATCACATATGACCTAAATGTGAGCCTGATTTGCAGAAATCAAAACGCTCTTGAACCAAAGGAATTAATGCTGCGCAAAGAGTAAAGTCAAGGTAGCTATATAGATTTGCAAGAGAGCTGTACAAAGACAAAAGGCTGAGCGTTGACAAAAACGAGGGACAGTCTATTGTCCCATAATTAGTAGGGATGTCGCAGGGCTTCCGGTGAACCATGAACCAAAGGGTGTCTTGGCACCTTAATACAGATCATGGTCTTCCACTGTAAACTGTTCCTCCAACAGGTCTAGAATAAAAGTGCTTTCCCTTTTAGAAAAATTACACTTCTTGGTTAGCTGATTCTTTAGCATGGGCCCCATAACATCTACTACAAGGACCAATTCCTATTTTTGTCAGAGCAAGTGTGCATCTCTATTGGTACTTATGTATTTGTATAGTTATGTCTATACACAAACATTTATTTACCTGGCAGTTGTCTTTTTGATCCAGTCCTCACAATCTATTTCACCACAGAAAGGAATCTGCACTATCTGAAGTCAGAAAGGAAAATAAACATTGTTGAGGTTATATAATTAGTCTTAATTAATGTCTTATATATTGAATAAACCTTGTCTGTTCCATTTTACAAGGGGAAATAGCTGAAATGAGTCTAACAGAAAGTAGTATAGTGTTCATGTTTTAGCTGCCTTGAGAGAAGTCAGTCTGATGATAGGATTGAAAAGCCTTATGATCTTTATATTTCACTACAAATAAAATTTCACTCCCCTGCCCCTCTGGCCTAAGATTTGTGTGTACATTCAACACACTGGCCCCAGTAGAGAGCTTCTTGAAGGTGAATGTTAGCAGAATCTGACTGGACTTTTAAAAACATCTTCAAATTAAGATAGAAAGTCGCCCCTTAGTGGTGCAACTGAGTAAAACACCACTTAAAGCCAGACGATGTAAGGAAGGACAATGTCATTAGAACTTATTCTGCAAACAATTCATAGAAAAACCAGTCCCTAACGTATTTCCTTGAAGTGAAAATTTGAATGCCATGTTTTCTCTCCAGAAGTCATTGATTAATTGAATATTTTAGCTTTCATGTATTTTGCCAGAATTTCACTCTCCTAGATCCAGAAGCAAACATATTTTGCAATAATGCACACAGAAGTGCTCCTCTCAAAGGGAGAGAGGTGCATGTGTAGGGAACTCACACCCCCAAGAGACTGGCATGTTAAACTGAATGACATGCCCTGGTCTGCAGAACCAGAGGAATAACCATTATGAGTTCTTGAACTTCAAGTGACGTGTTCGCTTTTCAATAAAGAATTGTTTGTTTTCCAAGCCATAAAGGCTTTACAGGCATTTGCTACATTTGAAATTTAACATAAACTAAGCCCAGCTTCAAGAGATAGCACATACAGCACGTAGGAAAGTTAATAATTTCTCATAATTCAGCATTGTTTGAGTGATTAAACTTCATTCTGACTCCAACTTTTAGAAAAGAAATTGATTCAAACTTGAAGCACACATTAAGGGAGCCTGTTATTCTTCTAGGAAACATGAATATGAAATGTGTATAGTTTGCAGGATTTTGTTCCTCTCAAGAGTGCTACAATGCGAACAGCAGCAGCACCAGATCACATAAAGGCCTTCAACTTGGACTCAATGGCACTGGACTCAATGACACTCCTGACCCATGGAAGAAAAAAGAACAGGATGGAAAATGCTAGGCCCTAAAACCTAATTTAGTTTATGACAAACAGCAGCAGGATGCATAAGTTGTATCTGTTTAAATAAATTCCACAACGTAAGCCAGCTGCTTGTTTTGAAGGAGGCATGTTGGAAAATGACTTATCTTTAATAAATATTATTAAAAATAGGTCAAAGCTATTCGAGAATAATTCACACGAATCAAACTCTCACGTAAAACCAGTAGCCAGAGCACAAAACACTCCTGTGGCAATCTAAAATACTTTGCTGCAATTAAAGGTGCTTCATTGCACCTTCATATCAATTCCAATAACCTCTTGTCATCCAGCTTTTCTGCATGTACTTGTTGACCTCTATTTACATCAGATAGAAAGAGGTCTTTGACGCAAGCAATGCGTTCTTTGAACTGACAAGACTAGTTATATTGTTTGCTAATTATTTTACGGTTACTTGTAATGAATTGATTACAGTATCTGATCTAGAATTCAACTTGATACTATTTCTTAGAGATGGCATGGCTATTTTCTGCTGAAAAAGCAGCACAGCTGAATAAGTGTCACAGGGAAGGCAGCCTTCCACCTTTACTAATGTTTTTAAAGATGTGGAGAGCCATCCTTTTCACATACTGCAATGGACATACATAGATGTCCCATAGCCTTGATGGAGGGTGAATGGGTTATGAGAGCTGACCACAAAGGAAAACGTTCTGCAATGGCAGCTGCAATTAAATAAGCCAAGAGGTTAAAGCTTTTAAAGAACTACAGGCTCCACTACATGTCTTAAAATTGCAAGCATTATTCCCAAGGAATGTGATATCGATTTAACATTGGCATTTTTTGAGGTTGCAATTATTCTTTGAGACTCCTAAGAAACTCTCATGGTTTAGGCCAGTACAAGCTGCTAATCCTGCAATCCCTGAATAAATTTGTGTTGCTCAATTGTGCCTTCACTTGCAAAAACAAAACTTGCAGCCTATTCTTATGAATGCTTCCTTGAAAGATAGCCACACTGTGTTCATTAAGGCTGTAAATATACACTGGATTCCAGTCTTGATCATGCTGCAGATTTCTTACCTTTCCCGAATCAAGTGCAGTCTGAAACTCTTCCATTGTATTGGCCACCACCATATGATTCTTTAGGTCTTTAGAAGCTCTGAGAAAGAGCAGAAATTCAGTCAATATAAGCTTTTACTTATTGTTAAAAAAAACTCTTAAACCACAGAGCCAGATCTTTAGAATGCATCTGAATTACATCCCACTAATTACATTCCAGTTTTTGTCCACACAGCAGTCCAAACAATGGTTAGAAACATGCTTAGCTGCAGTCAAAGGTGGGATATAAAAGTGCAATAGGCCAAAGTACTGTCCAACTCATTCTGTGTGCCCAAGGTGACTTTGGGCTTCTGTGCATCAAACCTTCAACGCACACCACACCTCTTATGAAAATGAGGGGAATTTGTGACTGTGTTATATTCACAAGGCACACCGAAGTCCTTATGCAGACCTAAAGTAGCTCTTGGGATACAAATTTAAGTCCTGTGATATCTCAGTGCAGTACAAGCATTTGGGACTAGAATCCACTTCCAAGAGAAGCTTGATTCCATTAATATAGAGTATGCCTTCTCTGGGTGTCAGGCCATGAAAACTGGTGGAAGAGCAAGCTGAAAGTACAAGGGCTAGTATTCAGTTTAGATGGCATGAGGTTTTTTTGTGAGAAAAGTCAGCATTACTATACTGATGACCTTTTTTGCCCAGCTGGTCAGGCAAAGCAATCCAAAAGATTTTTTTTCGGGGGGTGGGGTGGGGAGTGAATTGAAGATGGACAAATAATCAGTTCTAGAGTCACAGAAGGGAGGAGCTGCATTTTACCCCCTCCTGCTTTCTACTCTGTTTTTTTTTTATATTATTATTATTCTTCTCTTCATTGCTCCCATTTGGGGGATTCACTCAACCATTCCCCACCCCACCAGCTCAACCTATTGGGAAACTTTGAGATCATTGGGGATGGTGATTCAGATCGTTTGCCATGCATCCATTGCAATCCAGGCTGGGTGGGTAAGTGAATGTTAATTCTAGTTGTGCCCTGATCCTCAGTTCATTTCCCCATTCCTTTGAAAACCCATGAAACAACAGACAGATGAATGAAACACATAGCATAAGAAGCAAATGTGTCAGTTTGAAAACAGCCTCCCCCAAACTTAACCTGTCAAAAAGGTTCGTCTGGATTTTGTCCAGAACACGTCTCAGCTGGTCCACTGCTTCATTTTCAGCAAAAGTCAGCTTCTCTCCTGTGTCTCGTCTAACAGCTACAAACTGATGATTTTTCATATCTCGTGGACCCACTTCAAGCCTGATTGGAACACCCTAAAAAAAAAAAAAGTGGAGTCCATGAACAGAGCATTTTATACACTTCTTTACATCTGTCTACCTTGCTTAAGTGGAACACAAAACTATTTCAGGGAAGGAGCTACCCCTGGTTATAGTCAAGAAACCCAGACTTATACCTGGCAAAAATGCAAATTATTCCACACTCCAGAATAATATAAAACAAATGTATCACTTTAAACCAAATCTTTAAACTATGGTTTAAAGGTGAAGGCACCCACTGCAGCTATCACAGGTGTTTTATTCCTCTTCTGCTCCTGTTGGAGGTTGGATAATTTATTACACAGGCACTCTTGAAGTAGATGAGCTCATCAGAATTGGAAAATAAGGGACAGATGACATGTAGTTAAGGGAAAGTTCATAAGAAGGAGGATCGATTGTCGCTAATATATTGATAACTCCCATTTTCCTCCTGCATATACTACTGAATGATGCATCCAAGGAAAGGCTGACAATGAGGAATCCATCACAGGAGAACAGAACTGAACAACATTTACCTTAAGCTCCCAGTGATTGAATTTCCATCCAGGTGAATAGTTCTCTCTCAAGTCAACACGCGCACGGATATTGGCACTGAATAGCTGCTTACGGTATTCAGCACACTTTGCCATCAGGGCCTCCTTGTCTTCTTCCGAAAGCGAATTGGTGATTCCACAGGGAATAATCACAACCTGAGTGGTGATGCAATGATTATTGAGTTAGGAGCATTAACAAAAATTCTGTTTGCAAGAATTACAATATGTAGGCCCTAAACTTGCAGACTGCTCTTAAAACCATCAGTTTTGAAGCAAAAGGACTATTGAAGCAGTGCCACAACAAAATCAACTACATTAAAATTTTATAAATATACAAGCACTCACTGAGCAGAATTATTCATACACATATTTATGTATCTATTGATTGATTTGATTGTTTCCCAGAACTAGGACTCAAGGCGCTCACAAAAATTAAAATAAACACAGATAAAACACACACAGCTTAAAACATGTAAAAGGTTGCTGTTAAAAAGTAATTAAACTACCTATGGAATTAAAACACATCTATTAAAACGCAGATGGGGAAAACAGTACAGCATACAATTAGGATACGTTTCCTTAAAAGCAGTCAGTTCCCAAAGAAAGTTTTCAGATGCTGCTAGAAGGACAAGGAGAGAGCAAACACAGCCTCTAGAAAGAGAGTTCCAAAGCTAGGGAGCAGCCACTCAGAAGGTCGTCTCCAAAATGCCCACCAAATGTCCCTGTGAGGGAGGCTGGACTCAGAGAAGTGCCTCCCCTGAAGATTTCAGAACCCAGGCAGCTGCATATGGCTCAGTCCTTCAGAATTAAGGGCCAGTAAATGTGTGTTGGAGCAAAAAAGTGTTGTCGGTTGAGAGTGTAAATACCTAAGTGAAGGTGTCTGCAAGATCTGTTGGGGAGGCTGTTTCATAATGCAGTAAGAATGCCCTCTTTCTGGTTGCCACCCAGTGGACAGAAGCAGGCTGCTGCAACATTTCCCCATCCTCTCTCTATTCCCCTCCACATCTTAAAGATACAGCCAGAGGACATCAGCAGCTGCACAAGCATTAAGATTGTTTGCCAGTCAACTCAGTGACTTGGTGCCAGACTAAGTTAGTTGTGCTTAGGTCTTACGGCAATCTATGGGGCAAGTTAGTCATGACTTACAGTTAAGTTTCCATTAAACTAATTTAATGGAATCTAAGTGTAACTATCTTAGTCTGGATTCAAAACCCCACCACCACCACCATTCTAGAAAATAGGAGGGGAAAGAGAGGTGAATTGGCACTAGCAAAAGGTTTGTATCAATGTGATTTTGCTCACCTGAACAGAAGCGACCCTGGGAGGTAGTACTAGACCCATGTTGTCTCCATGAATCATGGTCATTACGCCAATGGTCCGCGTTGTGATACCCCAAGAGTTCTGATAAGCAAATTGCTTCTCTCCTGGTATCTTGGGATCTTCAAAGACAATCTCAAACATCTTTGAAAAATTCTGTCCCAAGTGATGAGAAGTTGCTCCCTAAAAAAAGGCAACAATAAACAAAATTCAGGTAACGTCTTCCTACATATTAATGAAGTATATAAAATGTTTTTATCAGAACATACCTGGATGCCTCGCCCACTGGCGGATATAAATGCCTCAATGGTAGTTGTATAATCTCCGCCTGCAAACTTCTCCTTTTCTGTCTTTCTTCCTTTCACAACAGGAATTGCCAGAAGCTCTTCATACACACGAGCATACAGATCAAGGATCTGTAATACCTGAGACAATAAAAAATAGTTTGTAGAAGTTTAGACTAAGCTATATGCCAAAAGTATTACTTAACCATTTGGTAGAACCATAGGAAAGCCAAGGATAAATATCAATGGCCTTCTAAAACCCTAATAATTTATGGCGGCTATCGAATAAAAATGTAGCGTTTACAGTTTAAAGCTCTAGCAATAACCAATGAATCCTATCCGACAACAGATAGTGATTCTCGGACATGAAATTAACTGTCGTTTGTAACTATGGTAGTTCACTAATTGTGTTATTTCTTTTCTTGTCTGGGGGTTCACATAGTTAATGCCACCCAATTTTGAAACATGTAGATTTGTTTGAGTGACAACAACATGCCAATGAGATTCAAATTAATTCTTGTATATCACACCATGAGAAAAGAATGTCCAACACGATTTAACACTGTGTCTACTTTTCATATAATCTCTCTGTGTTATTAGCCTTTTTGAACATACTGAAGAAAAGAAGTGTCACTGTTTTCCCTCAATTATGCTGGAATACAAAGTGGACTCACTCCACCCACTTATACAACAATTTCCAAATTTTCCTTGAATGGTGGATGGTGAAGAATGAATTTTGTTTAACTTAATCTGTGCACTGTACCTCTTCTGCTGCCTCTTCGTAAGTTGCAAACGCCGTGTGTCCCTCCTGCCACAGGAATTCACGAGTACGCAAGAAAGGCTGTGGATGTTTGAACTCCCAGCGCTGCAATACAAAACAAACAAAAAACAGAGTGTCATGAAAAGTTAAAGTTGTTATCGTCATTAATGAGCTTGTTTTAAATGTATTATTTAGCATTGCTCAAAGTTCTATTTTTCAATGATGCATTATACTATATGAATTCAAAGGCATAGTGAGTTGTAATTAATGAAATGCAAAGGCTAAGGCTAAGGCTCCATCAGTACAAAAAACTTTCAACCCCTCTGCTCCCCCTAAATTTGTTCTGGGGTTTCCCAGATTAGATTTGGGGCCGGCATGGAGCTTGTGCAGGGTGGGGTCCCAATGAACCTAGAGAGAATTCTTGTGCTGGCTTCTGCTAGTGCTACCTAGATTTTACATATTGTTAAGAAACCCACTATTCACACAAAAGGACCCAGAGATTATTTTAACTGTCATTTGTTTTCAATATAAAAATGCTATATTCTCATATGCCGATTTCTATTATTTCTATGAAGATTGTAAATACCAGTAGGCAAGGATAATTTGCATGATCACAAATCCAGATACAGTGGTACCTCGGGTTAAGAACTTAATTCGTTCTGGAGGTCCGTTCTTAACCTGAAACTGTTCTTAACCTGAGGTACCACTTTAGCTAATGTGGCCTCCCGCTGCTGCCATGCCACAATTTCTGTTCTCATCCTGAAGCAAAGTTCTTAAACCGAGGTACTATTTCTGGGTTAGCTGAGTCTGTAACCTGAAGCATCTGTAACCCGAGGTACCACTGCATATCGCAACAGATGTCACAGATCAGGCCTGTAGAGATTCCCCAACTGTGTGCACTACATACCACATTTTTTCATTCAACATGGTGTTTGTTAGGATGTGGAAAGCAGCAATGAAGAAATATTCAGAGCATAAGATATGAATCAAATCCCTCAACACAAGAAGTGCCAGGTGAAAAAATATGGCAAATACCCGCTTTTAAATTAAGTTGTGGGTTGTTAGAACGTATAGTCTTTGTGGGGAGAAAGACTATACATTCTAACAACCCACAACTTAATTTAAAAAGTGGGTAGTGGAGATTGCTGGCTGATTGATTGATTGATTGATTGATTAAGAATGAGCATATTGGGTAAAGCACAGCAAATATCCAGTATACCTTGCACTTACCACAACATTGCACCACTGATTAAGTTTGATGGGGAGATCCCTGTGTGACTGAACCCACTTTGCATAGGCAGGATACATTACTGCAAAAAAAGGAGAATATTTTCAGAAAGCACGTAGCTACTATGTTAACTATTGGTTTTGAAAACCTGATTTGTAGGAGTTTTTATTCCCATGCATAAAAATACCTGTGTGGAGTAAGGGTGACATCCAGTGATGTCAGCCTGTTTGCGCTTCCACTGGTGAAATGTGACTTGTCCTTCCTACCCTCCCCCTAGAGCCCCACAGTTTGCAGATTGGGGAGAAAGGAGAGGAAAGGGAAATCCCATCCTATCTGCTGGCATGTTGCTGGATATTACCCTAAGTGTTAGGCTAATCCTTTATATTTAAAATTTAAATACATGAGAACATGTTGTTCATCTTGTTTCTCCCTTATTTTATAAATTGCATTTTATTCATTGCATTTGTATCCCAGCTTTCCTTGAAGGAGCTCAAGGGGATGTGCACAGAAATCCTCACTACAACCCTGTGAGGTAGGTTAGGCTAAGAGTGACTTGGCCCAAGGTTGCTCAGTCTAACCACTACACCACACTTCTTGATAACAAAATAACTTGATAACTTGATTTCTCCCCCACTCTACCTGCTTTCATTCATGAGTAGATGAACCTCAGTTATTACAAAAGCCAACATCACTAATTGATAGGAAAGAGGGACTATTTAGCTGTAGTATTTTATTTTAAATCTGTAAGACTGTACCTGTTTCACTAGTAGGACGTACAGCTATTGGTTCAGCCAGCTCTGTTTTGCCAGATCTTGTAACCCAGGCAACCTGAAATCAATGAATGTAAAAGTTTAGAAAATACTACTTTTTATAAATATATTTCATGTCATTCTTAATAATACGGTGGGTACAACTTTGTTTAAAAAAAGTTTTTGTGACACATGTGAATTCTGTTTATCAATTGAAGCTCATAATTGTAAACTTAAATTCCATACATTATTATTAATAATGTGATCTAAGATTACCTCCGGGGCAAAGTCAGCAATGTGTGTCTTCTCCTTTTCCAACGCAGCCTGGGATACGAACATTGGAAAGTAGCAGTTTTCCACACCGAGTTTCTTGATTTCACCATCAAAAAACTCTTTGATGCTTTCCCAGATGGAAAAAGCCCAGGGACGGAGAATGTAACAGCCACTCACATCGTAGTATTCAATCATCTCTGATTTTGTGATCACCTTTTAAAGGAAATAGCAATGTTTCAGTGTCAAGAAAATTGCATTGGGGGCAGCAAGTTTAAAAAGTATCAAACAGAAATAAAATTGAACACATGACATTCAGTGGAAATGAGCACGGAACATTCATGTACGAAAGGTGTTTATCCTTTGTTAGAACCATAAATATCCAAATGCACCTATGCAGAGACCGGTTTGGATGTAACACTAAGGCAAGACATTGCTTAGGGCAAGTAAGCAAACATATGGATCTCAACCACTGTACCCTTTTCCTGTGGCTGCTGCACAGGCTGGGGCTGAGCCATGGTTTGGTTTAGCATTAAATCTGACGCCAAGCAACCGCTTTAGACAAACCAGGAGCTGCAACCAAGGTTCGCCCATGATTGCGGTTTAGCTCCAAAAACTGTTCTTAAGCGTACATTATTTTGAAGACTGTGAAAGAGGACTCCCAGGTAGAACTTGAAATATACTTGCCTGAGAATACCAGTCAGACAGATTCTCTTCCTTCTTAGCCTCTAGCCCCAACCTGTAGTATATTAGAAAGACAGAAGCATAATCTTAGCCTCAAAAGCAACTGCCATAATAAAGCAACAGCCCACTTTAAATATTTTGCTGTATTTCAAAAAACTGTTAAAACTATCCAGACATGAATTTAAATGTTTAAACATTTCAATGAATTTAAACAGGCAAATTTATTATATAACGGCAAGAGTCTTCAAGCTGACATGCTCCCTCAAATAACAATACAATTAGTGGGGAAAGAGCATATTAAATGTGAAGGGGGGAAACCCCAGTGAGTAGTCTGGTGGCTCCAGTCATGGTGAGGAGGACTGGAGCACCACTGTGCCACCCTCTGAGTTGTGACGGTGCTGCTCAGTGGGACCTGGATGGGGCACAGGAGCACTGAGCTGATGGTGCCAATCTAGTGCTACGCTGCCCTCACTTGATCCCAGCAAGCAGCCAGGAGGATAGGGCAGGAGTGGTGCCCTACCTTATGCTCCGCAACTGGATAGTTCTCTTTTTGCTCTTCATGGTGTCAGGAAAAATACATACTTATGAAAAGAAAAATCCCTTTCCCCTTTCACATTTGCTATTTCTTTCACCTGAAACATCTCCGTGGTTTTGCCAGGCCAGCTTCCTATATACGATTCCTATAAGCCACAATTTTACTCAAAGACTCTCTCCCATGGACTACCACAACCCCAAAGATACTTCTGCTACAAACTTTATTACGTCCATATTAGCTCCTCTTCCTTGGCTTTTGTTGTAGGCGGTCTGGACAAGGACTGTCTATTTTGTGTATTGTACCCAAAACCTAGCAAACAAGTTGGTAGTGATGTTGCAATAGTTAGAAGGGACCCAAGCCCAACAAAAGAACAGAAAACGGTCTATAACATTTTAACGTAAAAACAACCCAGCAGTACTATAAAGGGTTGTGGGGTTGTTGTTTTTTGCCTTCGTTATCTCTCTTATAGCACAATACCAATTTTAACACTGCATTCTTTCCTTTACCCTGCTGCCCAGACTATATTTTAAGTAGAAATTTCACCTGGTTTGTTTCTTAGGTCCCTGACCATCTCCTGGTCCATTTGAGGATAAGTTGCTGCCACCACTTTGGTCTTTCTGTGATTCTTTCTTTTGGCCTTCATTCTGCTTCTGTTGCTTATTTTGCTTCTCGGATTTGTTCTCTTTCTCTTTCTTCCTCTTGTCTTTGTCTTCTGCTCCAGTTGCAGAGACTGGTTTATAGTCTATTCCCGCCAGTGTCTTGTACTGCGCCTTCAATTGAAGCAGCTCTTGCACTGCAGCATCAATCTTATCCTTGGGGAGGCCACCATTCCCATGGAAACACAGATAACCAAAAAGAAATGAAATAATAGTTAGCTGCATAGAATAGGCAAGGTACATTAATTATACGTACGGGGGAAACCACAGAATGCACACTGAAAGGGAGAAATCCAATGAAACTTCTGCAAGCCGTGATTAGCTGCAAGCCAGCAAAGTAAGATTGGAAAGCAAGTTTTCAATCCTGGTTTGCAAAGCTTGAACCAACTATGCTTTTCTTCTTTCGGCGTCACAGCAAAGTGCAGTTTGGGGAAAAACCACAGTCAATTACTAATCAAGGCAATTTCATGAGAGGTAGAAGCACCATTGTTTGGTGTTAGAACTAAAACTACCCAAATGCTTTGAGACATCTGGCGAGAGGCTATAATCAACATAAAAGCAACCCCTGAAGAGTCCCGAAAGTGGAATCCTCACATTCTGTAGCCAAAATATCTGTACTATTCCTTGTTAGGACATGTAACTCGGTAGTATGGAATATAATTCACAGAAAGTTTCACACTCGGTGCACAACATCATCAGGAAACAGGATCACTGAAACTAAAACCTAAGAAAGGCCTATGTAGTCTAGCATTCTGTTCTCACAGTGGCTAATCAGACACGCCTGTGAAGCCCACAAGCAGGCTGCTTCCTCAATTAGGAATCCAGCAACTGATATTAAGAGGCATAAGGTCTCCAGCATTGTGCAAAACAGAACAATTACGTCAACATACACACCCTCATCTTACAACAATCATATGTGTGTGTGTGTGTGTCTAGGATATTTATGGATTGCATCGAAAGATCACCAGGGGGCTGACACTAGAAAAATAAGAGGACAAATGTTGAGTCAGGAGCTGAAGTAAAGGTGAGAACTTCAATGAAAGGCAGGAAAAGAAAACTGGAGCGGCTACTTCCCTCAAACTCCTTTTTCTGCCTTTGGCCACAACGTGGCGATAAATGCTCATGATACCCTTCAGAGTGAAAGGAGAACAGGCTGAATTAAGAGAGGAAATATGGTTTTACTTTTTACAAATGCTGCGAAATTCCAGCAATTTCTCCAGATGCATACCTGCAGAATACTTGACACTGAAAAGAGACCATCTTGCAATTGCAGTTCAGGATATTAGCATAAATTTTAAGTTAAAGGAAATGTGATGAGTATCCCAGGTGTGTGACATCATACTGGGTTCATAAGGAAAGGGTTAACTAATTGTAAAATGACTAACCAATGGGAACCCAAGGGGAAGAGTTAGAGTTAGGGTGGTTGAGAAGACAGTCTGGAGTTAGAGAAGAGACAGAGAGGATAAGTCTGTGGGTTGGGCTACTCTGATGTGAGAGAGTGAGAGAATTTGTTAAGAGGAGCCAATCAAACAGTTGAGATAATCAGTCAGAAGGTATTAGGAAGGTTGTTGTTGTTTAGTCATTTAGTTGTTTAGTCGTTTAGTTGTGTCCGACTCTTCGTGACCTCATGGACGCCAGGCAGTGGCGTAGCGTGGGTTGTCAGCACCCGGGGCAAGGCAAGTAATTTGCGCCCCCTAACCCGTGGATTTGCCCTAACCCCAGATGTTGCGCCCGGCCCCCCCTGCACCCCCCACGCTACGCCACTGACGCCAGGCACTCCTGTCTTCCACTGCCTCCCACAGTTTAGTCAGGTTTGGTCAGGTATTAGGAAGGTATAGGCCGGTAAAGAAACTAAAGTTAAGAAACTGACAGGAATATTATCTGAGAAACCATAAACTTGTTAATGCTTATAAAACAAACTTGTTTATTTGGTTCAATTTTAACAACTGTCTGGACTCAGTGTTTTACCCAAGAGTAACAGGTTGGTGACAGCGGGGAAGCGAGCACAGTGGTGGCACAGGGATCAATAGACCGTTAAATGTCCAGAGACCCTGTGTGATTGCCACGTTAAACTGTTAATAAGCAGTATTACCTTTTCTGCCTTCTCCGCTTTCAATTTCCGGACCTCTTCTCCTTGGAGAGCAACCTTGTTAAAGAGAGCTTTTGCTTCTGCAGAGTCAGGGCCACTGGTTTCTGTGCTTGCCGGCTGGTTTAAGGCATGTGCCTGAGGTGCTGGTAACTGTCCTGGCTTATAATCCTGACCAGTCTTTTCTTTATATTCCGCTTTTAGGGAAAGGAGGAGTTTTACAGCTTCATCCACTTTATCCTATGGGAAGTATTATTGGGAGAGCATTCATGTCACAATTCCAAGAGTTATGCATGTATATACCTGTAGTTTCCTGCCTGAATATCCAAGGGTATGTTAACAACACTACATTATAGATTTGCACTAGATTTTATATTGGCAGATTCCTTTCTGCTCCATGGCTCCCCCAAGATGGCCTTGTTTCCCCCCCCCCCCCAATGGTATCCAGATATATGGAGAAAAAGTATTAGCAGTTACTGAGGGTTGCATCCAATTCTGCCCAACAAAGTTTTCACCTTCCTCTCCTACTCCCATTTGCCCCAAAAATCTGCTGCAGAGGATCTTCCAACCGTCTGGAGCTGATTTTGAGGGTGTGCAGGGGCTGCACTGTTGCACAAGCAGAAGTGTGTTGCATGAGTGGAACAACAGCACAATATATAACCTTGACTTCCTGGTCCCAAATGAAGTCCCTTGAAAAAACTTCTGCCAAAATCAGTGCACAGCTAATGAACAGAGAAAAAACACAGTTTTGAAACCGCATGCATAATAAAACCACTATTCTACCTTGGACACCTTCTCGGCTTTGAGTCTCCGTACCAACTCGCCTTGTTCAACTACTTTATTGTACAGAACGTTTCTGTCTACTGGGCTAGAAGATGTCAAACCATTGCAGGACAGAGGAGCAGGACCAGAAGCACAAGAGGACAAGGAGGAGGAGGAAGAAGAGGAGGAGCAGGAGGAGGAAAGAGGAACTGCAGGTGGATGTCCAGGTTTATAATCTTGGCCTGTCTTTTGCTTATATTCTGCTTTTAGAGCAAGAAGCACTTTCACAGCAGCATCTATCTGATCCTGAAGCAGAGAGATAATACAAGAAACGTATCAGTAAGAATGGAAAAGTTTAATGCAAAAATTTCCAGTTTGAAACTGAAGATTAAGTGGGCAAGTGCAAATGATAAAATGATCAATCTACAAATAAATTTAACTGTTAGCATTGATATCAAAGTTTTGTTCTGCTTGGACAAAATAATAATCTGTCTTGCATGCAATAAGAGAAAATGGAGAGAAACCAAATATTGCTTAATACTTTGCAAAAGTAAAAATAAAAATACTGAAAAAATAGAATACAATTTTTTTAATTTTGTGAATTGCTCAAGGACCTAATAGTGGCATCTTTAAAAACATAATGTTCAGCACTCTTCTGCCTTCATGGCCATTAATACCTTTGCTGCTTTCTCTGACTTAAGTCTACGAACCACTTCGCCTTGTTCCTGCCACCTTTGCTGTAAAGAGCTTATGCAGACTACTGGACAGAGGGGCATGGAAGGAGGAAGAGCAGAAGGAGCTGAACTAGGAAGCAAACTCTTTGCCGGGTTTCCAGGTTTGTATTCCTGGCCTGTCTTTTGCTTGTATTCCGCTTTCAGAGCTAAAAAGCACTTTCACAGCAGCATCTATCTGATCCTACACAGGAAGCGAAAGAACAGTTTAAAAAGAGAGGAAAAGACAGAAAAGCATGTAGCAAAGTAGATACAATAGTTAGGATGCACATGATCAAGTTGACA